CACAAAATTATAATACACTCAACCCCTTCCCCCGAGCCCCCTCACCTGTTCACGTCTTTGCAGGGAGGAGGCTGTGAGCAGGATCGATCCCTGGTTTATCTGTGAGTGATTAGTGAGGTCTGCAGCAGCCCTCACTATCACACCCAGATAGCCAGGCATCGATGCTGCTCAGAACTGTCACAGCTCCAGGGGAAGGAAGCCAGAACTGACAGGAGCTGCTCTGCGGTCTGTATCTGATGCAGACCGTGGAGCTTCTCCTGCAAGTCAGGTACGCGGTCTGCGACCGTGTACCTGACATGTCAGTTGGCTGTGGGCCACATAGTACCGGCTCGTGGGCCGGAGTTGGGCCGCGGACCGGTACTTGGAAACCCAAAATTCCAAGCCCTGTGTTACATAATGGCCAACGACGAACACCAACATAATCATCTTGAAAGGAGAACCATGAGGTGAGTGCTTTTCACTCCTCCTCATAGTTCTAGCCGACCTGTGACAATGAGACTGTCACAGGTCGGCTCAGTAGATCGGGAAGTGAGCGAACACATACCAGCGCTCGCTCACTTCTCAATCTATCCCTGCAGAGAGTGGTGACTGTCACTCACGGCTCCCTGCAGGGATTTCCCCCCCTCCCCACTCCGATCCTCCAGCGCTGACTGGTGGAACGGACGGGGGAGGGCACAGCTGGCTCTCTAGAAAGGCAGAGCCAGCTGTCACTCACGCAGCTGGGTGGATCTCAAAAAGTAATGTCGGGATCCGTCCCAGGTGTGGCGGTCTCAGTATACCCCGAGCTGTAGCTCTCTATATACTGAGCTTTGGGTGACGGGAGGAGGTTAGTATATGTCCTCCTGTGACCCTGAGGAGAACTATGGGGAAAAACACTGACCCCCATAGTTCTCCTTTAATAACATGCAGTGTATTGAAAACCAAGAACAAGAAATGTTATATGTTGCAGTAGAATAGTCCTTCCATGAAGTGGCCGCTTTAGTTTTCAGGCTTTTGTAGCCTTTACATTCACCTGGTGATCCTGCCAGAAACACACTTCCTGTTCTAACGTGACAATGATCACTCTACTGTACTCTAGCTGTGTTAGGACTGCAGAAAGCATTGGGTATGGCCATCCATTGGGTGTCTGGTGGATGCATTTCTATGGGCACAGAGCCCGGACCTCTTTTTGCATTTGGCATCCTTCTACTACAGGCCAGTTTGCATGCATAGAAATGTATCCACCCAAGAGCCTCTCTCTGCTTCTGGTTATGATTATTATTATACAGGACTTATATAGCGCCAACAGTTTGCACAGCGCTTTACAATGTAAGGAAGACATTACAATCACAATACAATTCAAGACAAGGTGGTAAGGAGGGCCCTGCTCCAATCTAAAAGGGGAGGGGGAAGGGATACATGAGGAGGGAGCTGTGTGGGGATGAATTGTTTGAGAACGTGATGGTTGAGCGGTTAGACAAGGTTGGAGATATAGACGGGGGCGGAGTTGTGGACGGCTTTGTAAGTGGTTGTTAATATTTTGAATTGTATCCTTTGGGCTATTGGAAGCCAGTGGAGGGATCGCAGAGGGGAGTGAGGGATGGAAGCCAGTGGAGGGATCGCAGAGGGGAGTGAGGGATGGAAGCATGTGGAGGGATTGGCAGAGGGGAGTGAGGGATGGAAGCATGTGGAGGGATCGGCACAGGGGAGTGAGGGATGGAAGCATGTGGAGGGATTGGCAGAGGGGGGTGAGGGATGGAAGCATGTGGAGGGATTGGCAGAGGGGGGTGAGGGATGGAAGCATGTGGAGGGATTGGCAGAGGGGGGTGAGGGATGGAAGCATGTGGAGGGATTGGCAGAGGGGGGTGAGGGATGGAAGCATGTGGAGGGATTGGCAGAGGGGGGTGAGGGATGGAAGCATGTGGAGGGATTGGCAGAGGGGGG